GCTCCTACCGCTCCACATGTTTCCATAAGCAACAGCCGCGTTGGTTGCGAATTCGACTCCTGTGGTGTAGCCTCTGCAGGACCCCTGGTTTCGCATAAGGCGCCGCCTGTGCGAGGTCGCGCCTCAAGCAACGACAGCCGCGACGTGGCCTTAGTGAAGGATTCCAAGAAACCCTGAAACCCCGCTTAATCAAAATGTGGTTCTCGAGTCTCAGCGGCCACCTGAAGAGCTCTCTATAGCATTGCATGCAGCATTGCATGTAGCAGCTGCTTGTGGACTTCTGGCGTTCTGAGCTCCGGGCGTCGGCGAAGACCGCCAGGATCTCGAAGTCTGTCCGGGCCCTCTTGCCTTCCGGCGATGGAACGGCCCGGCTGGTGCTCCGGCTCGTGGCGACGACCTTCAGCGGCAGCTCCACGCAGCCGTCGGAGCCCACCTCGCCGAAAATGCCCTCTCCTTCTCCTTCTGCGCCCTGGCAGAGGCAGAGGTAGGTCTTCTCCACCAAGGAATGGGCCGCGAACTGGGCCAGGTACCAACGGGCTTCCGGGCTCTGCTCGGTGCCTAACGCCGCGGGCAAAACACCCGAGGTGGGGAGATCCAGGCGAGACACCGCGAAGAGCGGTTTCGACAAGGACGCGGCCATCACCTCCAAGGCCTTCTCTGAGGAGATGCCCGCCGGCTTCGCCACGGCCACCAAGCCCTCACCCTCCCCATCACAGAGCAGCGGCAAAGTTGGTAGGAGAGCTTCCAGCTCCCTCGGCTCGAGGCCGCTTCCCGTGAACTCGTGCCTGGTCTTGTAGTCCGGGTCCGGCATGCTCGTGGATCCCTCCTGGTCCTGGCCCCAGATCTGGTAAAAGTCCCGCAGCACATGCAGGGAACGTTCCCAGGAGCTCTCTTCGGACATGGCCTTCAGCACGCAGCCGACATGCAGGCCGTGGGGCGTCCAGCTTCGCCTGGGTGGGCTCTTTTGTTCTTGTTTCGGAAATTGACGTCTCAAGTTACCGAAATGAGGGAACCCTGTAAATTATGGTGACTTCAACTTCAGGTCCTCATAACAAGAACCCAGTCGCTGCAGGCACTGGGCCAAAAGAGCTAAGGCCATCTCCCAACGACACTCCAAAGCCCCCAAAGCCGCCGCCAAGGTGATGGAGTCCATCCGCAAGCCCTTCTTCTCCTGGGAAAACTTCTTAAGGCAGCTCATTCATGATCATTTGAGCAGGGATCTATCTGACGACAATGTGGCTTCCGGATTCTGGCAACTGAAAACAAAAAACCAAAAGCACACCTCAAAAAGTCCTTAGAACCAGAACCCAGGCCCAGGCTCGACCTCGGAGAGCAGCCACAAAGCCTCGGCCCAGCGTCCAAGTAGCCTTGCGCCCGCCAGAGCGTGCAGGGCCGCGTTCACGGTGATGATGCTCTTGGGGATGCTCGCAGCTCCCATCTCCTCCAGAACGCCCAGGGCCACGTCCGGGAAAGCCTCGCAGGCCCGGATGGCGGCGTTGAAGGTGACTTCGTTGGGCTCCACCCGCTGCCGTCGCATCTCTTGCAGACACGCCAAGGCTCCCTCCCAGCGCGTGGTGCGCTCGCAGGCCGTGACGCAGACGCTGAAGCTGAAGGCGTCCGGCTGCAGCGCCGCGGCGCGAGCGCGCTGGAGCAGGTCGGCGCCCCGCTGCCACTGGCCGGCAGCGGAGCACACGCCCAGCACCTGAAACAAGACAGAACCGACAAAACCTAGTGAGCCTCAAGGTGTCGGCCTTTGAAGTTCGAGCGCTAGCCATGAAGCAAACTGCCAAGCACCGTGTTGTAGAGGCGAAGATCCGGGAGAATGCCCAGGTCAGGGAGGGTCTTGAGCAGGTGCATGGCCACTGCCCACTTGCCACCTGGAAGGAAGGAGGCAATGCACAGCATGTTCTCAAAAACCCGGCTACGCAGTCCGTGCAGAAGCTGATGACTCTTTGATACCTACAAAGGACCCCTTGATATCCCCAGCACATCTGTCAAGAAGATTCTGAAGATCTCTCCTGCGAGCAAGGACGACGTGAATTGATTTCTTCCGCATAAGAAAGCCCTCAACAAAACGCGAAAGAATGAGAACAACTCCCTACAAAACCAAGCAGAAAAGCACCACTAAAAAGCGATTGCACACAAAAGCAGAACGAAGCTTTCCTTCTCCCATTTGGCTTCAATGGCACGTAGCTAGCACAACATATGAGACACAGCGAAGGCTTTGTACAACGGCAAACCAACCACACAACTCCTTTCGTCCAGTTGCAGTCCGATGACCCCGGGCCCCCGAGACACCCGCCTGGTTCACACGAGCGAATCAAGGCATCAACCACCAAAGCATCCGTTGGCACGAACAGAGTGCTCATGTCCTGAACAAGATAAACAAGTCAGAGGTCTCTCCGGCGAATGACCTGAAAGCCTGTCCGAACCAACCGGTGCAGCATGGACTTTTCGGCCCACATGGCCCAGATTCTATCCCTGAACCTTCAATCAACAAAGCATCTGCCTAAGTTTGGAAACCCTAAACCACAAACCCTACACCTTCGGCGCCGTCTTGCGAGCCTCGTGGAGTCGCAATGCCACCTCCCAGCAGCCAGCGCGAGCACATGCGGTCATCACAGAGCCACAGAGGATTGTGTCACACCTGAGGCTGCTGTCTCGGAGGTCCTGGCAAGGTTTCGGACGACAGATATATGTAGATTGACAGACACGAAAGCACAAGCAGGTCAATGTAGGCAACTTCGCAAACATGTGTTGTCTATATAAGAACTATCTGTCTGTCTTCTTCTTTGCTGGTTACCTGGCGAGCTGGTCAGTCAATTGCTTTATGATTGATGCAACCATCTTAGCATGTATTCATGCGTCTTGAAGATAAGAACATATAGACCACGTACTCAGGAACAACTCATACTATCGTATCTTAAACTTTTTAAACGTGTAGAATATAAAGATGTACACATGGTAGTTGAATCAGAAATATATTATACAGTTCTAAAATGGCTCCTGGAGTAGTGCCGAGGCAGCAGGCCATTGCTGGCCTGCGGCAACAGCTTTGATGGCCGAACTGTAGCTGAGGACCGACTTCCGAATCTTGGCTGCGACAGGTTTAGGGTTGAGGTCTTGGAGTTTAGGGCTTTAGGGCATTTGGTCTTCGCGATGTTCAGGGTTTGTGGCTTTGGGCTTGGTTCTGCGGTGGGGATTATTGCTCGCGCTGTTCCTGCCACAGGCTTCAGGTTTTGCTTCGGCATTGACTCGGAAGAAACAGAATCAATACAATCGGAGCCGCATCAGCATGGCTCATCTGCTGGAACAATAGCATGGCGCACTTCCAACAGCCAGCCTTCACCAGGCTCTCCATCCCAGAATGGAAAAGAGACGTGGTCAAACCTAGGATTTTGTTCACGAACTTAAGATCAGTTACCATAATAAGCAAATCGTATTCATTTTACGAGAGATCCCATTAAATTCTGGGAATAAAATTTAATTCCCTAACAAAAACCCGGAAACATGAGGCATCCTCCGCCTGCTGCATCAATGCGAGCACGCATTCCCAACCAGTTGGAATGCCACAAGCCTGGATTTAGGGTTTAGGTTTTGGGGGAGATTTAACTTAAGTTACCACTACCGGGATCCATAGTAAATAATGTCGTTCCTTGTTATGACAACTGAACTTCCTCAAGAACCCAGAAGCTGTAACTGCGGTGGAGAGTAAGATGTGGTCAACAGCCACGCGAACCCGGCACGTATCTTGGAGGACGTCCGCAGCTTCCTGCCATTGGCGCTGCCGCCCCAGCTGTGCCACCAATTTCGTGGATGCCTTTACATTCCAGTTCCCTTGCATCATCTTGCCAGCATGCATGCGCCATGCGAAGGAACAAATGCCAATTTCCAGCCATGGAACCGTCGAAACAAGAGACCCAAGCGCTTCCACTAACGTTGCAGATGCAGCTTGAACAATGTGCAAACATATTGAAACAAACACATGCGATTGTTGCTGGAAAACTTGTGCGCGTGAGTGTAAAACAACCACCCATCCGAAATATAGATATATTCGCCAAGGCGTTAGGAAAGAGCACATCAGCCATGTGGAATTTGACACAAAAATTCCAGCGAGCAAATATATTCTTTTGCAAAAAATAACTTCAAAAGCATATTCAGGAAAAGCTCGCACTTGCACGGACCCCTCTCACACTTTTTCAACGCAAAGGCGGCAACGACGTCCTCTTGCAGAGTTCAACACACAAGCAGCCCAAGCTGCCCGTGGATGCGTAGCGTGACCATTTTGAGCAGGGATTGGGTGGGGTGGGTTTGTGACGAGATGGCGAAGCGGGCGGAAGTATCGGAACTGAGCGTTATGCCAGAAAGTCGGAGATAAATGTCTTATCTCAGGCTTTGTCCAGCTGCAACAACTAAATGAAGTATTTCAGAAACAAGCAAAACCACCCCAACAAAAACTAGAGAATTAGTTGCTGGAACAAAGTGCTGCTCGAAAGAAACCAAAGAATGTAACTGAGCAAACACAAGCAAACCGTTCGAAAGTTTCTAGAAAATTTAACAAACACGGATTGAACGCTGAGAGACAAGCAAACCTCGAAAGAAACTTACCTCGAAAGAAACTAATGATTTTCAGTGACAAAAAATAGAAACGGATTAGAAAATCTAAACAGCGATTTACGCCGAGACCAACTGTCTGAGAAATAAGATTATAATAACGAAGTTGCCGGCAAGCGACAAGATCTGAGAAGCAAACTAGAGAATCTTAAAAGAAGCGAATTTGACAATTGAGTCAAGCTTGGAAAGCTGAACATTTGAGAAACAACTTGCAAGCTGCAATGCAGGCCCCAGTAGGAGAATTGGGAAAAAAACTCAAGAAGGCCAAACGTCCAACCACAGGCTTGTCAGCCTCCAGCATCTCAAGACAAGGCGCTTTTTTGGGCCTCAAAACGCAGATCTTAAGAAAAAGGAAAAAGCTCCGAGAACGCTTTTTGAGGGTCCAAAAAACGAAGAAAGAGATTCAAAGAAGAAAATGAAACCAAATCCATTTTCGAAAAACTTGGGTTTAAAACCTGACGTTCTCTTGAAGAAAGCCACACGAGAACGCTTTTTGGGTGTCAATAAACGAAGAAGAAGAAATTGGAAGAAACGAAACAAATCCATTTTCAAAAACTTAAGTTCAAAACCTGACCAAAACAAGAAAACCACACAAGAACGCCATTTGGGCAACCTGGCGATACATTTTCCAAACCTTGACCTGACGCTTCGATGCTCCACGTTGTTTAAGGGGTTGACAACATTGCGCAAGAGAGTTTCTTCGTTAAGAAAACGGATACGGAGCAAACAGAGACACAAGTCGCTGTTGGTTAAGTTCTGTCTCCACTGGAGTCTTCAGGCTCTTGGAGTTCTAAAGTTTTATGTGTTGACTTTGCCTTGACGATGGCACGAAGAAGAAGACTCGAGATGCCGTGCACAGGAGGATGTCGACTCCAGGTGAGCGTGGAAACTTAAAGTGGCTTTGGACGGCGGCTCCTGCAGCCCGAATAGTTCAGTTTTTGCCGGTTTGACGGGTTCAGTTTCCAGACCAAAAACTCTAACGTGGCAAACGTCCATCAGAACAGAACAGCCTTGTGGAGAAAGAAATTAAATGCCTTCAAGTCTTCCATCCGTTCAATAAGCTTCTTAAGCTTGCAGACTTGGATTCGGTAAAACGGACTTTGACAGCAACTCTGGCACCAAAATGCGAGCCCGAAAACAAGGCCGTTTTCTGAGCTTTTAAGAAATGTGCAAACAAAGCGACCGTTTTTTCAGCAATGTAGCCAGTTTCAAAACATTCATCCACTGTTTAACCTCTTTGAGTTGTGCTTTGACATAATTTTGCTGCTCTGCTTCTGTTGCCTGTGGTATAGTGTTTCTGTTCTTTTACAGCGGCTAAAAGAAACAAAAAAAACCACAAATTGACGAAGCTTTAAGCCAAAAAAGGTTTCTGCTTTACTTGGTCAAAGGGATGCCGAAAAAACAATTTTCTTGCACAACCTTTAAAGGCTTTAAAGTCTTAACTGTTTCCATGCATGTAAATATCGGGATTTTCGGAAGTTTTGGATGCGGTCACTGTTGCTGCTGCACTTGGTAAGAGAGCAAAAGTTTCAACTTAATTGTTTGAAACGAATACATGTTTAAAACAAGCAGTAAATTGGAGTTACCTAACTGCATCGCTGCTCCGTGAAAGAATTAAGAAGGGGCTCGAAAGTGCTCCGCACCAATATGCAGGCTCCAAAAAGAGGCTGCCAGCGAAAACGATCATAACGCGCCAGCACGTTATGATTGCGCACGTTCTGCTTTCAAGTGCTGAGAGCTGTGCTGCTGTAAAGTCAAAAATCCGGTCAAAAAAACGGTGCCTTTCAAAACTGGGTCTTTCCAGTAATTGTGAAAATCTGAGATCCTTGAGGACTCATCTAGTGATGTCCACGTGTTTTGGTTTATGGTCGGAATGCAACTTGAAACCTTCAGTGGTTTCCACAGTGGAAAGTGGTCAGTGGTGGCAGTAGAAATTCTGTATATTTCTTGATGAATCGAAATTAGCTGTAGAATAGATCGCTAAATATAAATGTATTTCTAAAAATGTTTTATATTTGACAAAATGCTTATATTTAACAAAAATGCTTAATTTCTCTAAAACAAATAAATATTATATCGTGAAAATAACGAAATTCTATTTTGAAATTTGTAATTTATCATAAAATAGAATTCCAATTTGCCGATTCTGGTGGTGTGCAAAATTCGAAGAGTAAAATTAGAATAGTAGTAATCGAAAGACATTCTCAACTTAAACATGGCTGCAACAATTTGGGCACAATATGCGAAGATGAGTAAGAAAGCTTTTGTCGAAGCTTCCTAAAATTGAAAACTTAAATTTTCTTGGAGATGCCTTCCTCTAAATTCCTCCGCGACCGGTCTGACACCCTCAAAGTTCAGACTCTCCTTTGAGAAGGCGCAAGCACCAGCAAGAACGTTGGAAGCTCTGTCGGCTCAAAACCAAACCTTCTCACACTAACTCCAGGCTGAGCATAGCTCTGAAAACAAACATCAGTTGAACAACTTAGTGGGCTTCGAGCGGCCGGCACGCACTTTCCTTTCTGCACTGTTCTTACCGCATAGTTCAATTTTTTGCCGGTTTGAGGCGCAATTTCCAGACCGAAAAACCCTAGCCAGCGCAGCGCAACATCGATAGCAGCGAGATGGCACCATGAAATCAAAAAAAAATCCAAAAAAATTGAAACTGACGCCAATCCATCGAACCTATTACACACAACATGGCTAAAATAAAACTCAGATAGATCTGATTTGCAGCACAGCACCACAAATGCATGCAAGCGATCAATGTGCTGGATTGAGTTTCAAATTCGTTTTTAACCCCAAAGGCATTCTTTTTTTTTTTGGAGCAGATCTGAACAGGGTTTTCGAGACTCCAAAACTTGCTCATGCACAAGATTGCACGTGCCTTGCAAGCATTTTTTTCGATTTTTTTTTTAAGACATTTGCTTTTCGTCGACCGGTTTTTGGTGCTCCGACCAACACTTCTTTTTGCATGTCGTATTTGAGAGACAGTCCGAACACCACTTTTTTGCTGTCCGAAAAACCGATCGACAAAGAAAATGCAACAGAAGCAATGTAGGAACCAGGAATGTTGCAATATGGGTCACTCAAAAAAATAAAAAAAAAAACATCCACGAGGTTGGCTCAAATTGGACGTTGAAAACTTTGCCACAGGTAGAAAGCAGCAAAATTTTTTTCTTTCCCAAGATTCTTTTAGAAAGCGGTTTTGAATTTCACTTTTTGTTCGAGGAAATCAACACTTGGACTGTGTTTTGTGGCGAACCTGTTTGTAATACAGTTGTATTTTCGGTTTTTACGTGCTTAGTGGATTGCTTCTTTCAGAATGAAGTTGTTCTGTCATTATCGCAATAGCAGCTAGAATGAATTCCGCGTTTGACGTTGTGTGTTCGGTTTCGCGGTTTTATGCGGATAGAGGGCCTCTAGAGCAACCCGGACCTTGTTTCGACCCGAAAAACCCTTCGAAAACGTGAACACCATAACGTGCCTCCCCAGTTGCGGGAGTGTTCGCTTTCACAGCTTCAGCTCAGAACATTGTTGCTGTCGTTTCAGGAAACTGCAGCATCTCAAGCCGTGCTGTTTTGGATGGAGTGGAGTGGCTGCGCAAGAAAAGAGAGAAATTGTGATAATTTTGTTGGAGTTGAGAATCAAAAATTGGCCCGGAATTCGGGCCCGTTTTTGGTGCCTCTTAGTATTGGGACCTCTCTCTGGGGAGGGTGTTGTCAGCTCCCACTCTGTGATAGCTACAGGCCTTGTTTCTAGACATAGGTCAGAATTCGTTACTTTTGGGCACTGACGATCTGCGGGCCTACGGCCCGC